GGTGGAATGCAGCGTGGAATGCTTGATCTGGTGATCAGGCGAGATGTGTGGTGATGCGATGAGGTGCACAGTGGTTGTGGTATGTGTGCGTGCGTGGAATTGTATTACAATACAAAAACCACAAAAAAAAACCTAAAACAACAAATCAACATCCTCTTCTCCTTCCGAAGCGCCGCCGATCTGTCCCTCTTCTCTCCTTCCTTCGCCATTCTTCTTTCTTATCGTCTTGCTCCCTCTTTCCCTTCCATTGTTTCTCCTTCACTCCAAATCTGAAATACAAACCAACAAATCAAAAGTTTCAATAATTTTGACGCAAACAGAAGGATTACCGCGAACTGTGGACGACGGAGGTTCGAGATGGCAACGCGATAGTGATTCGTGGGTTTGAAGACTCGCGGCGGTTGATGGTGTTTTATAGGTTCTCATCGGTTTCACGGCGAGCTTGCGAAGGAGGTAGATTCATGGCGGTTATGAAAATGACGAGGATTTGTCGCGGCGGCTCTGTGGATTCGCGGACGGCAATGGTGATTTCCGGCGACAAAAGTCTCGACGGTGGTGGAGTTTCCTCAGCTTTCCCCTTTTTACGATTTTTTAGGTTTTTTAATTTGGGATTTCTCTGAGTCTCCGCCCCTTCCCCCCCCCCACCCCCCCCCCCCCTTTCTAATGAACTGATAACTTTGCAATTTATAGGTCCACCTTCTTAATTTGCAGTTAATGCTCAATGAAAACATGACGAAATTACATTGTTGTGTGGTGAAAAGTTTCCATCTTCATCTAAACATGTTGGAAACATGTTTGGGGTGTACCAAAACTGTTTTGGAAATGTTTTGATGATGAAGATTTTGGCTAATACTGTTGCTTTGGAGAGAAATTAAGTTGCTGTGAATTTGACTGTGTTTTCTTCCCATCAATGTCTGTTAATGTTATTTAATCGTTGGATTTCAGATGATGGATTCCTCTTCTGTTTTTTCTTTTCAGCTCCAACATACTCGGCTGATTTTAAGAGATGTGTGATGATAGTTTCTTCAAAGCAAGTGCGGATACCGTCGATTATAAAAAAACCGGAGAGAACTAACAACTAGCTCATAGTTCTGTTGATTGTACGCTGTATAATGGAAATTTCTCACCAGGAGATTGCCTCGGCATGCTATCAATATGACTAACAACATTAGAAGACAAATCAAGTGGCTCTGTCATCCAAAGCTTGGCCATCAACTCTACAGGTCGGTTGGAATTCTATTGTCACAGTTTCGCTTTTGCTGAAGTTGTGTTTTTGAACTGCTTTGTTCCATCTTGGGCATGATAATGGGTACACTAATAGTTTGTTCCTCAGAAGGTCGGTAGCTTTAGAATAATGGATATATGAATCTTAGCAACCAAAATCTCAAGGTGTATTACCGCTCCCTTGTTGAAGTCCTCAAAAGTTCCTGAAGGGCTGGTCGAAACATCCCAGTACATACTGTCAATTTCTCCAAGTCGCAAGCAGGTACATTGCCTTGAATTGTCTTCAATGAATACTTATGAGTTTATGATTGCATTTGTGACTCCTCTTCTTTGCATTGGTGTTGCAGGCTTTGAGTTTGGAAAGGACTACATGAGACCCAATCCGTGCGAAAAAGATGGGACCCAACACGCGACTTAGAAAAGGGTGTGCCGACCTAAAGTTATTATCGCAATGTTTCACAGTCATGTTCATCTGCAACAAAGGCAGCCTAAATGATGCAATAACTCCCAATATTCAAATTCAGCAAGGTAGTGCATCCTTTGCGGTGATGATGCAGCGAGTTTCAGTTTTCAATAATGGGATTCTGGTTATGAGTTCTTTAATTCTTCTTATTTTGAGGCAATTAACGGTAGCATGAAGATATTGTAGCAACTCTTGTAATCTAGTAGGAATAGAACCTTGTGTGGTGTAACTTGGCAAGATTTTACAATTTAACGTGCTGGCTTGCATTTGGGTCGTGACAACTTTGAATTTTATTTATTTGCCACATTTGAAGTCTTGGAAACTGCACTTTGAAGTTGCTTTGTAAAGTAATGGATTTGAAAAGTCACATTGGATCTAGTGTGCTATTGTAAGATTTATAAAATAAAGGCATGTTGAAACCTCTTAACCGTGGACCCTCTTGAGAAACTTGCTTTAGAAGTCTCGTCAGCTGGTATTAGTAGTCTCATCAGCTGGCCTACATGTAACCTTTATTGGGGGACTTATATTCCCAAGCTAATTATACTGTCAGTTTAGGGACTTATATTCCCAGGCTAACTAAATTATCACTTTAGGGACTTAAGGTTTTCTCGGGCGGGATCAAACATAGAATTCACGCCTAAGACACATGAATGAATTCTAGCATAAGAGACTTAGTCACAAGTCTTCTCTAAAGACTTGATAGAAGTTCCACATGAGAGGTTCAACGCCTCACATGGAGTAATTCTAGTCTCATCAGCCGAGTTACATATAACCTCGCCTGAGGGACTTAGATTCCCTAGCCTAACTAAAACCTCAATTGAGGGATTTAGGGTTTTCTTGGGCGGGATCAGACATAGAAGTCACACCCAAGATATATCACCAAAGTCTAGCCTAAGAGGCTTAGTCACAAGTCTTGTCTGAAGGCTTGATAGGAGTCTCGCTCAAGAGGTATAATGCCTTACTTGAGAGACTTGTAGCCTCATCAATCAAGCTACATATAACCTCGAATGAGGGAGTTAAATTCCTTAAACTAAGTAAATTTTCACTTGAGGAACTTAGGGTTTCCTCGGGAGGGATTAGACATAGAAATCATGCCAAAGAGGCATGATCGAAGTCTAACCTAAAAGAGTTAGTCATAAGTATTGTTTGAAAGCTTGATAGAAGTCCTATCCGAAAGGTCAAATGCCTCACTTAAGGGATTGGTATTCTCAACAGGCGCACTACATATAACATCGCCTGAGGAACTTAAATTCTCCAGGCAAACTAAAGTCTCTCTTGAGGGACTTAGGGTTTCCTCGAGCGGGATAAAACATAAAAATTATGCCCGAGGAAAAACTAATTCAAGTCAAAATCACTCTAATCAGACAAATTATATGGCATTTTATTATGAAAGTCATGATGATAAAACAAGTAGAGGACTAAAACAAGAGTAACAGAAGAAAAAGAGGAGAAAATGCAAGAGAATCAAACAATGTGCCACACCCATCCTTCATAGTGGTGATATTTGAGCATGGAAAATAAGAAAACCAGAGCATGAAGAAAAAACATTGTGTTACCAACGTAGTGGCACAATTTTGAGGTTCTAGAAATGTTGCGCCACGTTAACTAAGCAGGAGTGACACTTTAAATACGGTCACATACTGCCACATTAGACAAGTCGTTAAATTTTTATGCACCTTAGAGCATAGCGACACGATTCTGCGATATTGTAATTTTTCTATATAATGTAAACCACATTTAGCCATTATGTTTTTGAATTTTTATGATCAATGATGCATATTCTAAAGCATTGGAGTATGGGAGAAGGCAATGCATTATTGGGATATCATCCCTTACTCATTTGTAAGGCTTAATAACTCTCTTTATTTTGTATTGACCATGAATCCCTTAAGAATGAGTGACTAGTCTACAATAATGTAAAACATGTGATCTTTGTAGATTTACTCTCTATAATAATACTTTCTTATAATCTTTCAATTTATTGTGTGCTTAATGTTTTTATCCTGTTTATGGAGTTCGAGAAATCAATCTATATAACTGCAAATTTGAATATATATTTGAAATGAATAATTTTGGAAAGTTGTTTATGATTGCTAGGTATATAAGGCATACACAATCATCACATATGTATTTTATGCTTGATCAAACCTTCTTCAACTGTAACTCCGGTCAAGACATTGGAGATTGTTATCATACGAAGCAGGATATACAACAAAAAATCGTGCATAACTATTTTGTAAAATAATTGTGATATAAAAACACTAATTAGGTTCAATCCGAAATTGACCACATGAAAAGAAGAAATAATTTAAAGAATTAATTGTTTCTAACATTAAATTTTCTCTCGTTAGTCTATCTTAATTAATTTTAATTTTATATCTTTCGTATTTCTGATATTAATTATAATTTCTATCGTCTTATCATTTAGATATACAAATTATTCATCTACACAAATTAATACTACAAACTAATTTTTACGCCAAGATAAGCCTCAATAAAACTTCCATTGATCTATATTTGGTATATGTTTGAACAATTCTAATAATAGTTTTTTTTTTTTTTAAATGTAACATTATTTCTTAGAATAACCTATGCTTTATGTAACCCAAAAAAGAATATACATACATTACTCATATTTGATTGGATGTCTTTACTTCATAGTACTTTGACTCAGCATATGCACTCACTCATAAGGTAACACCTTACCTTACCTTACCTCCTATTACTATTACTATTATTTATTATCCATTAGAAGAGAGTCACCCTCTTTAGAGAGAAAGCATTACTTCACCTTACACTACATTTTCCCTAATGAAATAGTAAACAAACAGTATCTGGTTTTAGTAGAGGACAGAAGAGACACACACAGTTGTGACACAACACTAAGAATAAAATATTCAACACAAAGAAAGAAGAAACAAGACATAGTCTTTTTTGTGTTATAAAAATGGATACAAACCATAGAAGCTGTTATTATTATTGTTATTACTATTACTATTATTATGTGTTGTGAGTGATTCACAGATTCCAACAAATGCCGTTTCCTCTCCCTTACACAAAGAAAGAGAAAGAGAGAGTGTGTGAGTCTGAAAGGTTCTGTAACGTTTGCAGAAGCTAGCATAACAGACACGATTTTAAAAGCTGTTTCAATTGTCCCTCATAAAGCTCAATCATTCAATTCACTTAAATTCAGACACCACAACATGATGATGATGACGGGTACTTTTTTGTTGTAATGGTGTGGGAATGATGAAGACTCAAATTTGATCAGATTGGTGAAAAAAACTCAAGAGTTTTGGTTGGTTTAAGGTGAATGATGTTGAATTCTGGTGGAGGAGAAGATGAACTTTATGGAGAATTATGGAAGGCTTGTGCAGGTCCTCATGTTGAAGTTCCTCGTGCTGGACAAAGGGTGTTCTATTTTCCTCAAGGACACATGGAACAAGTTTGTTTTCTTTTTTTTTTTTTTTTTTTTTTTTTTTTTTTTTTTGCTATCTGCAAATTTTTTTAGAAGGTCATAGGTTGTTGTCTGAAAATGTGTTGTGTTAGGATTAGGATGCTTGGAATTTGGATATGCTTTGATTCTTTTTTGTGTGTCTTTTGTTTTAATGCTCTTTTTACTTTATTGTTTATGTTTCTGTGGTTGTTGTAGTTAGAAGTATCAACAAATCAGGAACTAAATCAGAGGATTCCATTGTTCAAACTTCCCAACAAGATCCTTTGTCGTGTTGTCAATGTTCATTTACTGGTAATTTTTTTTCCTTCATCCCATGAAACACAAAGGTTGAATGTTCATCTAGGTTTTTGTAGTTACTAGGTTAATCTTTTCAGTTTTGGGTTTAGTCTCTAATTATTGGTAATCTTCTCCGGCTAATTGTAATGATTATCTTGTTTCTGATATGTTTGGGTGAGGGAAAACAAAAAATTGAGTTGAGTTTTGACATGTTTATAGGCTGAACAAGAAACAGATGAGGTTTATGCACAGATAACTTTGGTGCCAGAATCTAATGTAAGGATGTAGATAAATAAACCTTTTTGATTCACAAATGTTTTCTTCGATTGTTTGAATTTCTAATTGACCGAATGCGTTTAGCAAACCGAGCCTACGAGCCTTGATCCTTGTCCTGTTGAGCCTCCGAAACCGAGAACTCACTCGTTCAGCAAGGTCTTGACTAACTCTGATACCAGTACTCATGGTGGTTTTTCTGTTCTTCGGAAGCATGCCACAGAATGTCTTCCGTCATTGGTATTGATACTTTTTTTTGGTTATTTTTCCTGAATTTGTGTTGACAGATCTAGGTTTCTTTGTTGATGTTTACTAAAATATGTCTGGTTTTTGTTTAGGATATGTCACAGTCTACTCCAACTCAGGAATTGGTTGCTAGAGATCTTCACAATTATGAATGGCACTTTAAGCATATCTTTAGAGGTAAGTGACTTTTGAAATTTACCGATTCGTTTTTTTTATAGACAAATGATATTAAGTTAGTAGTTATGTTAGTTTCTAGGGTTTTGAATTCTGATCCTTAACAAGTCTTCCTCGCCCCGTTGTACTTAAGCTCTCACCACCGCACCAGAAGAGCTCATTCTTCCACCACCTCCCTATTCTCGGACCTAATTCTAAGAGCTTTCGTTTGTGTTTAGGTCAACCACGTCGACACTTGCTCACAACTGGATGGAGTAATTTTGTTACTTCCAAGAGATTAGTCGCTGGAGATACCTTTGTGTTTCTGAGGTATTCATTTCATACTTCTCTTGTTCTTAGTTTCCACGGCATGGTTCAGAAAATCATATACTGTAAAATCATACAAGTTGCAAACATTAAATTAAACAAGATTCTGTGTATAGAGGGGACAACGGGGAATTACGCGTTGGAGTGAGGCATCTTGCTTCTCCACAGAGCTGCATGCCTTCATCTGTGATTTCTGGTCAGAGCATGCACATCGGTGTCCTTGCAACCGCGTCACACGCCGTTGCAACTCAAACTCTTTTTGTAGTATACTATAAGCCAAGGTAGAACTTTTTTCTTATTGTGAAAATGACTAGAATCTGTATTCTGTCGATGAATGACGGGCAAATTTTGTTTCCTTAGGATGAGCCAGTTCATTATAAGTGTGAATAAGTATATGGAAGCTATGAACCAGAAATGTAGTGTTGGCATGAGGTTCAAGATGAGTTTTGATGGAGATGATGCTCCCGAGACCGACAAAAGGTACTAAATTTTACTTTTGTAGTTTGCAACATGACCTTTTTATTAGATATTGTAAGTCTGTTTGGATAAACAACTTAATTAGCACGTAAAGCATAAACACGTATCATATAAGTGCTTACGTATAAACAGTTTCTATAACAAAAGATGTAATAAAGTTAAACTGTTTTCATATAAGCTATAAGTTCATTTCATAAGCTATCCTGAAGAGTTTTCATTAGATTTTCTGGCACAATAATTGGACAAGAGGATATATCTTCACACTGGTTGAATTCAAAATGGAGATCACTCAAGGTATTCTTATTCGGTTTTGCAATACTCGAACTTACTTCATGTGATTGTATCGTATTCAATATTCATCCGTTCTTGTAATATATTCCCAGGTTCAATGGGATGAGCCTGCCTCTATTCCAAGACCTGATAGAATTTCACCATGGGAGATAGAACCGCTTATGGCTTCTGTTCCTTCATCGGTTCAACCTGCGGCTGTAAAATATAAAAGGCCTAGACTACCAAGTGAAGTTCCAGATTTTGGTAAGGAAGTGGAATATCCTACTATATCCTATAATCTTTTTCATTTCAAATGAATTCCGACTTAGTTAAGGCTCAATTTTATACGCTCTTCAAAATGTTACATTATGGCGTTGTTTGACGTGTGGTCTATGTAGCTGACTTCACTTAGTAGGCTTAGGCTTAGGCTTTGTTTGGATAAACAACTTAATCATAAGCGCTTATCATATATGTATCAGCAACTTCTATAACGAAAGATAAAATAAACTCAAACTCTTTCGTATAATATATAAACTGTTTTCATTAGCTATCTTGACGAGTTTTTGGAAATAAGCTGAGAACAACTTATAGACTTATCATAAGTTGTTTCTATAAGTTCTTTTAATCTCTTGGTGGTTGTTGTTCTTGTCATCATCGTCGTTGTTGATGTTTTCATTTCACTTTCAAAGGAGATGCGACGTTATGTGACTCTACTTACTGGGAACCTGGGTTGACACAATCAGACGTAACGCAAGTTAACGTTATGTCTGAAAGGAAAAGGAGTGAAAGTATGCATATGTGGCATCATAAGCAAAACGATAATAGTAGCTGCAACGGTATATCAAGGAATCTGACAGACGGAAGTTGGCTATCTTCTCCTCACTCTAGTGGTCCTTCTCATTTGTGTCATGACACGACCGACACTAGCAAGAGTGTCACCGTCTCAGCTTGGCCTATTTTGAAAACTCACTCAGAAATATTGAACAAAAATGATAATTTGATTGACCAAGTTGACAAGGAGAACAAAATAGAAACAGCTACAAGATGTATAGTGTTCGGGATTGATCTTAATGATTTTCCGAATGCATCTGGAGTCACGTCTGAGAGATGCATTGTCACTCCCTTATCAAGAACTGATGCAGACCGAAATAAGTTTGATATCTCAAAGGCTTCAAAAGAAAGGAAACAAGAACAATCTCCGAACGAAACACTAAGCAAGCAAATCAATAGCAGAAGTTGCACTAAGGTACGTGACATACGTTATTTATCTCCCGAAGATTTATGGATTTTTGGCCTACTCTGAATTGTTTCTTGTGTTCAAAAGGTTCAAATGCAGGGTGTTGCAGTGGGTCGTGCGGTGTACTTGACTGCATTGGATGGATATGATCAACTTATCGATGAATTGGAGAAGCTGTTTGACATAAAGGGACAGCTCCAACCGAGGAATAAGTGGGAAATCGCCTTCACTGATGATGAAGGGGATATGATGCTTGTTGGCGACGATCCATGGCCGTGAGTATCTCTTTTATCTTTATTTATAGCAGAAAAATACGGCCATCGCAATTTAAAACTATGTTCACAATTATTCACATAACAAATCCTCGTGATTAACTTGAATATTATGCGTATTGGTGTTATTATGTTGCAGGGAGTTTTGCAATATGGTGAAAAGGATCTTCATTTGTCCAAGCCAAGATATGCACAAAATGAGCTCAGGGACCAAATTACCAATCTCATCAATGGAAGAGACTGTAATAAGCTCAGACACAGCTGAGAGATGAAACAATTTACTGTCTTTTTCATATTATTATTATTAATCTTTAATGTTGTTGTTGTTGTTGTTTGTTTGAGTTAATGAATCTACTTCATTCCTTGTTATGCAAGCTTCATGTTACTAGATGTGAAAGTTTGACTAATTGTAGAGACTCCACAAGTTGAAAAGGAACATGTTTTAATAAATTAAGTAGGTGAGGGGAAAATATTGGGCTTGTGGATATATTAACACATTTGTGTTGATGCATGTGTTAATAATGCTTGATGTACTTTTATCTTTGCAATTTAATGCCCATTTCCATTTGTGTATTGAAGTTTTTGGGGATACATTTAAAACACTAACACCTTAATACTTCACCCAAAATAATTTTAAAAAATAAATAAGTTAGACACTAATACATATTTTGTTAGAGATGTCAGTACTTTAGAAATTCTACAAACAAAAGTGGTAAAACATGTTCAACTCGTCGGACAAAGACTGTTTTACGCTTACTTTTTTTTTTAGATAAACTAATATTTAGACTAGCACTTTCTAACATATATGTCCACTTTCTTCTCTTATTTTTACAAATTTTTGTGAGCGCAAATTTTAACCTAAATTCTTACGATTTTAAATTTAAAATGTCCGCAAACCCATCTCAGCTACATTTTTGTTGAACAAAACAAAGATTTAATCTCACACCCTCAACTATATCAACTCTATTTCGTTCCTTTTTTTTTTTTTTTTCTTTTCAGATTTTTGTACAACAGATCTAAATGGGGGCGGAAAAGTTCATTTGCAATCCTGCCTACAAGTAAGTGGTGAAGAATTTTAATGGTAATATTTTTTTCCCATTTGTGTATTTGAATTTGAACTAGTTGAATTGTTTGGAATTTATGTGAAAGAGGTATTATGGTCCACTAGATAACTGGTTCTCCTGACAAATGGGTAATGGGTTGAGTCTGACAGAGTGGGGCAACCTGTAGATGCAGCTTTAAGACCCATACGTATCAAACTGAGTCAGCTGTTTGATTCATGTGACCTAGTTAGTACCTTTCATGTCTAAGATTTACGGCATGTATTAGATTGGGATCTTCAAAGATTTTATGAGATTGTATTCAATTTGTGGGGATGATAATCAAGATTTTTAACACGGATTTTTTAAGAATTTAAAATGTTTTATAAAATTTTAAGATTTTAAAAGAATCAATAAATTCTATCATTTGAATAAAAATAGGGACATATAAATTTAAATCTTTTAATAATAAATGATTTTAATTTCATGTGTATATAAATAATATTTCTTGCATACTAATCTTTCACAAAGTAGCTTATAACTAGAGGCCAGAGGGTGAAAATACGTTGGATTGGGTTAGACTTTATTAAGTCTAAGTCTGAGTGTGACATGTAAAAATATAAAAGCTTAAGTCAGACCTATAATCTATTCAAATTTCATTTTTTGACTGGAGTTTGACGTTTTGAATATCTGATTAGCCTATTAAAATATAAATAAACAACTCAACTAATATTTAAATATATTAAAGAATCAAAAGTACAATAAAAATAAATAAATATTTGTTTACATCTACTTATTTGAATTTACATAGAAGCATGTGTTTTCTAAGATTATTTGTTTAGAAGTATTCATAATAAAATTTCACTTTATTTTTACAAATTCTTCAAGATAACTAAACTTAACTTTTGTATTTTAATATAAAATATAAAAATTAATATATTTATTTATATTTATTAAAATAGGTCGACCTAATAGGATTAAAAGTCTTTTTATGGTTTGTGGTTTGATTTATTTAACTAAATATACTTGTAAAAAAGTCAATGTCTTTTCTATTTAAAAAAAACCATAACCCGACCTTAATCTGTATAGACTAGAACGTAGGTCTCTCTTAGTCAGACTGTCATATTCCCACCCTTACTTGTAAACAAATAAATCCTTCATAATTTAATATATTCTTTTATGCCCTTATTTTAATAACATTTATATCTGTAATTTAAAAATATGAAATATAATGTATTCTCTCAATCATATTTCTAAAATACGAAATATGAACTAATTTTTTCGAATATTGAATAATTTTTTAATTAAAAATAATTAATTTTTAACTATAAAAAATGTTAGTTACAATATATTAAATAATAATTGAATAAAAAAGTTAATTAAAAATGTCTAATAATAAAAATAACATCCATTTATTGAAATAAATAAAAAATAAAAAATATAATAATAATAATAATAATAATAATAATAATAATAATAATAATAATAATAATAATAATAATAATAATAATAATAATAGTAATAATAATAATAATAATAATAATAATAATAATAATAATAGTAATAATAATAATAATAATAATAATAATAATAATAATAATAATAATAATAATGATAATAATAATAATAATAATAATAATAATAAACACAAATTGTGGAAGGATTGGAGGTTTACAAGAGGAAATGGAATGATGGTTTTTGGTTGATAGGTGGAGACTTTAATGCTACAACAATAGCCTCTGTAAGAAAGTGAGTTTCTCGTGATAGCAGGAATCTGGAGATCAAAGCTTTTCTTGAATTTGTGGATAGGATTGAATCTTACTGATCCCCCGAATGGTAATAGTTTCACGTGGTTTAATGGTGATGGTAAAGCAATGAGTAGAATCGACAGATTTTCTATGGATTCGACTTTTATTAATATATGGGGTATAATAGGGGAGATATCTCAGATCATTGCCCTATTTTGATGAAGATCGAGGAGAGGAATTGGGGTCCTAAACCATTTAAAACTAACTGAAGGTGAGAAAATACTTAGAAGGGGGGTTGAATAAGTATGACAAATAATCAAAGATTCAAACACAGTTATTTTTATCCTGGTTCGTTGAACTCAACTACTCCAGTCCACCCTCTCAAGAGTGATTTGTCTTTCTCAGTCAAGGACTTAATCCACTATTTAATCAAATAGATTACAATAGTAACACCTAAGAACAACTGTTTTTAGTCTTCTCAAGAGCTACTGATCCCAACTGGATCCTCTTAAGGAAACCTTTTACAATCAATGTAAAACTATTACAAGAGTAAGAATGCTTCTAAAAAGCTATTATCACAACTGTGATATTTCTCTTAAGTTTGAGAACAATGTTACAGCAAAATAGAATATAAGAGCTTTTGAGAGATTTGCTTTGATAAGTGATTTTTGCAAGAAGTTCGTCTTTGAAGAAGATGGAGTGGACTTCTTTATATAGGCACTTAGATCCATGAAGTCTTCTCAACGTTGGAGGCTGTGCTGAAAAAGCCTGATGCCTTTTGTCTTTACATTGGAGGCTGTGCTGAAAAAGCCTGGTGCCTTTTGTCTTCACGTTGCAGAAACTTTCCTTAGAATGGAATGCACAGATAAAACCTTTTTGCCTGTGTTCTTGTTGTCGCTTCCGCGAAAATAAGGTGCCGGCAAGACAGAAGAGTCGCCACCTTTAGTTATTTATCCCTCAGAACGGGAAAGGAAACGATCGGAAAAACCTGACGAAAAGGTATAAGACAAGGTCATCGCAACCGTTGTCTGGGTTCGGGAGTCGGTTACGCAAGGGGAAGGTATTAGTACCCCTCACGTCCATCGTACTCGATGGGATCCATGCTTGTCATGTTTACTGGACGAGTTGGTTTTATCTATCTACCTATCAAGGCTGGCTTAAAAAGAAAAGAAAATGACTCGGCAAAGCGTCGCACTTTATGCCTACGTATTCTCATCAGAGAATGAGAAATCAGAGTCAACGTAGTTTGACTAACTACGGGTGATGGGGAAGGTGGCTCGCCAATACGTCAGTATTGTGCCTACGTACTCTCAACAGGTATGAGAGATCAGAGCTTACGTAGTTCGAGTACGGGAATTCAGATTCATCTGTTTTTCGAGTAGGGTTAACAAACAGTTCCAGCAGTTTGGCGTACGCAACTCGACCCTGGGAGACTTAGGCGTTACCGTTTGCGGTAGAACTGGGAGTTAACGACACTCTTTTCTTCAGAAAAGCTTCCTTTGAATTACGGGCCCACGGGGCAAAAAGGTTTGAAGTTTGTTTTCTGTCTTTTACGGAAGAACTGTTTTTTATGGCTGTTTGCAACCAATATCGCACTAGAGACTATGACTTGAGAGTGAATGTGTCGCATGTCACCCAAAGGGTACCATACTAAACATCCAGACTGTTGAAAAGAGACTCTCCAACAATCCCTTCTCAGATAGCTTAAGGCTCGTAACGTACGACATCAGTTAACCTTTATTACTGTATTTTAAGTTGTTTTGAGATGAGAAGAGAGAACGAACAGGTTCAACTAAGGGGAAGACTATCAAGTCCTACTGTTGTCATGCCAAGGATTCATCCTATGGTTGAGGTTTGAAACAGGGGCCTCCTAGAAGTTATCATGCATAGGTTTCAACCTAAAGTTCTAATCATCACTTCCTTATCAAAGGAAGTCGGATTCCTAAGGGATCATGTCAATGGTAAACAGAAACGGATAAAGCATCAGCTTAAACAGTAAACAGTTATACAGTAAACGACTGTAAAGTGCATGCAATGCAAGTGAGGGAGGAAATGTGTGCGGGGCATCAGCCACCACAAGCTCGTCTCGACCTCAAGCCAGATATGAATAACTGTAATCATACAGGAGAACTAACATGCTATCAAGCAAAATGGAATAACTGCAATTATACAACAGAATAAAATAAAATGCCATCAAGCAAATCACAAACCACATAGGCAAGGGAGCTGAGCTCTACCGAATACCCGCAAGCAAAGCCATACAGTAAAAATACAAGCAGAGGGAGCAACTCAACCTCTAGTGCAATCATGCTCCTAGCTTAAATCAGTCTAGACATGGACTTATTCTAATGCATCAAGCAAATCAAACAAGTCACACCAATACAGTTGCACAGAAAGCAAGCAGACAAGAAAGGAAACAGATCAACAGCTCCTACAGCAAAGCCCTCCTCTGACAGCAGCTCAGTCATCAGGCTTCAATTGCTC